ACACACAGTATGGACTATGCGCAACAAGTGCCTATGAACAATATGAGTGGTGATATGCAGTCTGTAGAACAGACATTAAACATGTCACCGATGGATTTATTCGATTCAATTTTCTGGGGTAAGTCATTAATATCCACTTTCATTTCTTGTGTGTTGCTCATCGATTGATACCCCCATCTCTCGCTCCGTCACTCATGGCTTTTGCTCGAAAGGAACTTGAACTAACATCCCACAGAACCTTACCCTCAAAATGGTCTCGAAACAGGTTTCGATTATGCCGGTGCACCTTTTTACCCGCAAGCACCCTTTTGAAGGATATCAATCTTTATTAGCTGCCCTAACCTAATGTTTTATAATGACAATGAGGATGGCCTATTTGGTCCGAGAAAAGTTTTAACGAGGGGTTGGACATGCGTCTTGGAGTCTTACTTTGTTTCGGGAGTTTGTTCTGTTCACTGCGGGAATTTCAAAGGATATTTAGTATAACGATTTTTAATGAAAGATTTATGGTTATGGTTATTGATACATGGTGTTCTTGATGTTGACATTGTGTATTATGTTGTGCAAGTACTAGGTAGGGACTATATCCGTTGAGTCCGACGAGTGCATAAGCATCTGGCATTCCAAAGCCAGAGGCCAGAGTATCGTGCTTAAAACCACTCGAAGAATTTTCCTATTTCCTATTTTTCACGTGGCACACAAAAACAGCGCATGGCACGCAGCATACCCCAGATAAAGTCTAACCCATCCTAACATCATTCCCATTCCCAGTCCCATTCTCAGTCCCATTCTCAAACCCTGGCCTCGGTTTCATTTTCTGCAGTGAACCGACTTCAATCACAGATATATGATACCTCTTCGTTCATTCTTTCAAAAATCTTCTACACAAAAGTCTCAGACAAGATCATAGAAGACTGCTGATCAAAGAGGAGTATGTATCATAAGCCGATGTTGAATTCGCACTCTTTTACTGTAGGTACGTAGTACGGTGAGCTAGCCCGTTCACGCGTGAAGCAGAAATTAAGCATGCCATAGACATACATATTATACAAAATCATCGCGGTAGCAAAATTGCATAGACCATGGTCAAATGTAAAGTAGAGAAAGAGAGAATTCTCATAAAATTAACCCATCTAACCTTAACTAGATTATCAAAAGCCTTTCCTTTTGATATCCGTCCCACCGAAGAAGTAATACAACCATTGAAAGAAGAGGAAGAAAGGAAATAGTATCCCAAAACGCCTCATGATCAATACCCAAACGTACGAAGGCAGTTGAGTCATGATATCCTCAAATCAGCCAGGAAGCGTACCATGCTCATGCGTCCCTCGCATAAATGTGATATCCAGGTCCATCACGCGGTGCCCAAAACCACCCTACCCTCCAAAACATCCGCAGATGTGGAGACGAAGTAGAAATACACAATCATAAAATTTCTCCTTTCCCTTCCTTGTTTCTCCATCCAAACCCCTGCCTAACGATAAACCAATTTGTCACAATATCCTTCACTTGATAATATGCGTATCATTGTCCAATGACTTGCCGACCGAAAATAACCAAAACCAGAACCAAAGTCAAAAACCAAAAACAATCCGAAAGCGCGTGATACTTATACGCCTCTCTATTGGAACCGCTACCGTGCAAAATACAAAAACTAATCCCATCTCATGGATAGAGAATGAGAAATCTATTCTTGCATCGCGTCGCCAGCATTATCGTTTGCGGTTTGTTTTGGGCTTGAGATGTCTTTGCCGAAAAGTGGACCATTTGCGGCAAGTTTTTTGGCAGAGGTCTTTGCGAAGAGAGAGCGAGGTTTGGTGTTTCTGGAGGGGTGCTGTTAGTACTTGTTTCTTGGGATATTTTGTGTGCAATTGAGAGATGGCAAGATTGCCCGAGGCTGTGCGAATGCCTCTATGGGTTGTGATGAAGGGAATAACGGAAGATGGTACTCACTTTCCAACTTGTTTGTTGCGATAAGCGGACAGTTTGGCAGTAGTTGGTGATTGGATGGTATCCGATGGGGAGATGTATTTCTCCTCTTGACCCCTATATTTTTAAATGAGTTAGTGAATGCTCTTGTATCTCAAATATTATCTGTGGATGGATATCAAGTGAAGGAATGGTGAAGCTCAAAATTGCTGAATAGTGTAGGTAAAAGTAACCAAAAAAAGAGAAGAACATACCCATTCTGTTGCATCTTGTTCTGCAACACTTGACGATGATATTCCATAGAATGAGGGTCAGCACCAATTGGTGTCTTCTTCTCATCAACTACACTGTTGACTTGATTCATAGCTGAGATGTTGACGTCTTTGTTTGAGAGAACGTTTGCTGAAGACATTGTGTATGTTCTTTTGAATGTATTGATTGTTGTTTGATTGTAGTAAAGAAGTATTTATCGGTAGGATTTCTTAAAGGTTCTTGTGATTTTGAATGGAATCAGATATTGTAGAAGTGAGGACTTTATGTGTTTTTATGTATTTGTTCTTCAGTTGTAGCGAAATCGAAAATTTATGATCTCCCTCTGGAATTATTTACGCTTGTTGTCTGGGCAACGATGAGCATATTTCTTCCGTTGCTCCACTTTCCCCTCCAAGTAACCAAATCCAAGCCCAAGCCCAAAGCATACAAAACCATCCATATACTCCGTATTGAAACTCAATCATTATTGACGTAAAAATGGGAACGCTTGGTTGGATTGTTTTGTTTGTTTTGATTTATTCAATCTTTTATGTTCATGTCATAGATCTTGATCAATTATTATGCTCCTCATGACATATATGCCTTTATATATGACTTTATGAACTTGAAGAATTATATTACACTACACCTCAATGTAATAAGTAGGTCATGTGAAAATCCAGTCTTGATATTCCTGTACGCATAAACAAACTAAATCCCTAATCCTATCTAACCTACAACTTAGATTTCTCCCGAACAGTTGGTCCTGGCTCTACATGCTTGACTCTGTACTTAGCAAACAGAGCTTCCGTAGCTTCCATTTGTCTGTGAATCTTCTGAGTCACCTCAGCTCCTCTTTTGTTTTCATTTCTACCCAATTGCTGTAGATGTACCTCATCTGGTCCATCGGCCAACCTCAATGTTCTGATGTTTGCCCACATGGATGCGAGAGGGGTATCTTGACATACACCAGCTCCTCCAAATGATTGTACGGCACGATCGATGACAGTCAATGCCATAGTTGGGACGAGTACCTTTGCCTCACCAATCTCCTTTAGTGCACTCTTTGCACCCCCTTCATCGATCTTAATAGCAGCATTAAGTACAACCAAACGGGCCGCGTCGATTTCAATTCTTGATCTTGCCACCCATTCGAGAATCACACCATGTTCTTTCAATTGTTTCTTGAAAGGTGTCTTTTTAGGATCATTGATACGCATGAGCATCCAATCCAGAGCTTTCTCGGCCTACAAAATGATTAGTTTTGGAAAATTTTGGTAGATGTAGATATCATTAGAACTTACAGCACCAATAGATCTCATACAATGATGAATACGTCCGGGGCCAAGACGACCTTGAATAATCTCGAATCCACGTCCGGGGCCAAGTACCATATTTGTTGCTGGCACTCTAACATTCTTGAATGTCAAATGACCATGTCCGTGAGGCGCATCATCAAAACCGTAGACTGACAACATTCTGTTGATAGTAATACCAGGGGCATCGGCTGGTACCAAGATAACAGACTGTTGCTTGTGTTGATCCGGATTGTTAGGATCACTCTTAGCCATAACGATATACACTTTGCATCGTGGATCACCAGCGCCACTCGACCACCATTTCTATAGAACAGATTAGCTGATTTGCCCCTGAACGAAATCAAAGATACTCCAACTCACCGAGCCATTCAAGATCCAGTGATCCCCATCTCTTCTCATATCCATTTGAATATTCGTAGCATCCGAACTTGCGATATCCGGTTCCGTCATCAAGAAAGCCGAACGAATCTTACCGCTCAACAATGGAGCTAACCACTGTCTCTTCTGTTCCTCATTTCCGTATTTCGCCAACACCTCCATGTTTCCGGTATCTGGCGCCGCACAATTAGTGGCTTCAGATGCCAAATGCGATTTCCCCAATTGTTCTGCCATCAATCCATATTCGAGATTCGAGAAACCGGCCCCTTCTTTGTAATGTGATTTTGCGAGGAACAAGTTCCATAACCCGAGACTTTGTGCCTCTTTCTTAAGGTCTTCGATGACTGAAGGGTAGGCATCCCATCTCTGAGTACCTTCGCCGAGTTGAGCGTGGAATATGGGGTCGGCGCTGTGAATTGTTAGTGGTGGTCTTGTGCGGTGAAGAACATGAAATCGAGTATCGTGGCAAACATACGGTATACATCTTTCTTCGACAAATTTTGTGACAAGATCAAGTGTTTTTCTTGCATGATCGCTCACACGATTAGCAGCCTAGAAGAAAATAATGATTAGTATTTGAGGAGGCGTGATCAGATGAATAGCTCCTACGAGAATAGGGATCTTGTCGGACATGATGGATGGTATTTTAAGGGGATCTGGAGAAATGTGTACGAAGTCGTGTCAAAACTCAAGCTCAAGGTAATTTCAAAATATAGCAACGATTGTGTATTGAACAAAACTTCTTATTCACAAATATTTAATTGAATGGAAGATTAATATAAGTATTGAGCTCCGCTTCGTTGTTTTAATATATTCTTAGCTCTTGTTACCCCAAATTTCTCCACACAAGTTCGGCTCGGCCAATTGTTCAATACCGAGGCAATTCACAGTGTGGGGGCCAGGGACAATATCCATCGAATCCGATGCATAGGATGCGCTGCGCATGATGATCTGAAACGAATGGTACGAGAAATCGATCCATATGGTAAGGTTTCAACTCGTTGACCAAGGTGATATTCAATTTCTATTTAATCACTACCTTGACTCCATTCAGAAAAAAACCGCCACCGTTATTGAGGTATCCTTTCTTTCTATGACCCAAATCTGACCAATATCAGACCTTTAATCAGCAAAATAGTTCGCTCTTCTCTTGCCCTTTCCACCAGGTTTATTACCCTTGAAATGCTTTTTGCTGGTCAGTTTCTTAATATCATTTGGATCCACATCCTTTTCCAAAGCTATTAATGTTGCCTGTTTCCTCCCTGAGAGTAGTTTCCCGCTAGCAGTTCCTTGCTCAGAGTATTTGTGACTGAAAGGCATTCGTAAATGTGCTGAATTACCTTGCCCTTGAGCAAAGAAAGTACTGTCAAGGTTCTTTGACTTTGGTCCTTGAGGCATTTCGATAACATCGGAATCTGCAACGGAAGCTTGATCATCGGCGGATGATGCCATTGATGCTAAAGCCTGTCGTCTCTTCTCTGGTAGATGACCTTCGTCATACAGCTCTCTATTAAATTCAAAAGGATCAATGTCCAATGGAGGAGGCTGACAAAATAGCAGCTTTCCATTAACGTAATCCTTAAGAATATGTCTAGCAGCTCTCGACTCATCCGGCTGACCTTGTCCTGTTCTTCTGAAACCTCTTGCTCTAGCGTATGCTGTTAACATCTCTTCAGCTGTTGGTATACCCGTTCCCCCTTCCTCCAAAGGTCGGGTCACGATTTTCATTCCATACAATGCTTCTAAGAATCCTTGGGGGATGCGGTGTGCTACTAAACCAGCTGGACCCACGAATTCTCTAAGTTGATCAATAGGCAGAATACCATTGCACACAAGTTCTGCTTTGGTGGTAGCAAAATTTGGGAAAACCAAACCAGGACAATCGCAAAGTAGGACTTTGTCACTAAGATGGATAGTTTGGAAATGCTTCGTTTTTCCTGGTGTCGAAGATACAGACACCTTCTTGGCACCAATTAAGGCGTTAATGGTGGAAGATTTACCAACGTTAGGGTATCCGACGAGACCAATTTGAGTCTTTCTAGTAATTCCTGACTCAGAATCTATATTTGTTAGCTTTAGATCTAATTGCATGAATATGGTACCCCTCACCTTGAACTTCAGGTGCATGAACCAAGAAAAGAGCCTCCAACTCATCTACAGTCAAGATTCTGGTACTTTCAGTTTCAGTGATTTCCTCGTCGCTTTCCTCATCATCCTCTTCAACAGCTGCCTCTTCATCTTGCTCATCGCTGTCCGCTTCACTGTCATCATCATCATCTTCTTCATCATCGTCGTCAAGCCCAAGTGCTCTCGCCTTCTCTGCTAGCTTTGATGCGGATGCAGAGGCCTCTGTTTCTTCTTCAGTCTCCTCTAACATTGCTTCATTTAATTCTTTTGCCAAAGCTGCTGAGAAGAACTTGTATTTGATACCGGCGGCCTCAAAGTAATCAGCCCAATGTTGTCTTTGCTCCAAAGTCAACATATCAGCCTTGTTTACCAATAGGAGATTCTCCTTGCGGCTATCGACATCTTTAACATATCTTTCCAAATCTTCAGATCGAAATAAAAGCGGGTTCCTAGCGTCGACGATTTGTACAATAAGATCAGATCTCTCAATAACTCTCCACAACTGCCTCCAAACTTCCAGATTGCGCTCAAATGGTGTCATCAATAAATCGTTGTTTTCCTGAAGTTCAGCTAGTCCTCTTCTCCATTCGAGAAGACCATCTCTCTCCATTCTATCAAGTTCTTGTGGGGTTGTCGTAGAATCCCATTTCGGTCTTCTTGGAACTGTGAGTCTTTCCTTATGTACCTTCTGCTTACCAACTGCAGCTCGTTCTTCCGCAGCCGATAACAAGTATGGATTCTTTTGATCGGTGTGAATAATTTTGACATTGTTCATCTTCTCCGCTGTGAAATCTGTGCCGGCTAACTCTGCAGTGGACAAGAATTCATCGAGTGCTGCCTGCTCCGTAACTGATCGCATCTTGACCCAGCTGGCCTCTTGCTTTTCGTTTGTGACATACTATATTCTTTCAGTATGGAAAGATGGATTGATCGAGTTTATACATACGGTTTCTCCAGTATCTTTGTGCGTTCTCTGAATTCCAGTCGCCGTGGTCTTTTTGCGATCTGCTCCTTTGCCCTTCCCGAATCTATCATTCATCAAACTGTTTCCCAGTCCAACGGCATTTTTGGATTTGGCGAGAACCATCGTGTTTACTTATATCCGTTCTTCAATAGGGTCGGTGTGCTTTCAATAAGTAATAATAGAAATAAGATCGCTACAAGAAAGTTTCCAATAATTCGCGGGGTTGAGAAGGAAGTATTGAATTTTATAATTTTACGGTGGAGTTTTGATTATCTCTGATTATCGAGCAAAAATGAGGGGCAAATTTCTCGGCTTAGTACTGTGATAAACAAGCTTGACCCGCCTAAAAAAGCAGCCCCTCGCACTAAGAAAATTAAATCTTTCCATGTAGATTTATAATTCTGATGTCTGTAATTGTAAACCCCGAATTCCTCGTCCGAGCAGAAAGATAATAAAACCATTTCTCAACATTACAACTACTAAACAATACCGGCAATATGGCTCGAGGAAAATGGATTGATAAGAAGACTGCGACACATTTTCAACTTGTTCATCGTCCTCAAAACGATCCGTTAATTCACGATGAATCTGTTTCGTCCATGGTCCTAAATCCCACCAGCGCACCCAATCCGAATAAAGTCAAGAAACTCGATGATTTAACCGCCGAACTTGGTTCAGGTATCGCGCGTGTCAGAGATAACGAAGGTGAAGCCGCAAACTATGGTGTGTATTACGACGATACCGAATATGATTACATGCAACATATGCGCGATTTGGGCCGTGGAGGTGGTGAATCAACTTTTGTCGAAGCTACTGGGCCAAAGAATAAGAACAAGGGCAAGGGAAAACAATCTTTGGAAGAGGCGCTCAAGAACGCAAGTTTGGGAGACAAGGCTGGTGCCGTTCTTGATGATGATATCTTACCATCCAAGAATCTTCGCAAGGTTACCTACCAAGCACAACAAGATATCCCTGATGCTTTAGCTGGTTTCCAACCCGATATGGATCCGAGGTTGAGGGAGGTTTTGGAGGCTTTAGAAGACGATGCTTATGTAGACGACGATGATGAAATTTTCGGAAAATTGGCAGAGGATGGTGAGGAATTGGATGAATATGAATTCGATGAAACTTGGGATGATGAAGATGGATGGGAATCGGACGCCACTGCAAAGCCTACGCAAGAATACAAGGACGCACCTGCTACAACCCAAGATATCGACGATGATGAGCGAGAGGATCATGGCGATGGGGATTGGATGGCAAACTTCAGTAAATTCAAGAAGGATCAAAAGTCTAGTAAGGCTCAAGCTACGCCTTCACAAGCAGATATGCAGTCATCTATATTTACTACTACAACGAATGGCGGAAGACGCAAGAAGAGAAAGGGTGCTTTGACTAATCCTTCCGCATACTCCATGACATCGTCTTCACTATTCAGAACCGAAGGTCTCACTACACTTGATCAACGATTTGAGAAGATTGAGGAACAGTATAACGAGGATTTCGATGATATGGCGTCCGTCTCGATGGCTTCGTCTTCCGTTTCCACTGTAGAAGGTGATGTTCGTCAAGACTTCGATGGCATTCTGGATGATTTCCTGGGCACTCATTCCATGAGTGGTAAGAAGAACGTCAGGAGAATGAAATACCAAACTGGTATGGAGCAATTGGATGAGGTCAGGATGGGTCTTGGTCCAGCACGCTTCACCAGCTTCGGTAGTCGCGCCAGTCGTGCCAATCGTTCGCAAAGGGCGTAATGGTGAGGATATCTAAAAATAAGGAGTCGTGGGTTGGTATCTGGTTCACATGTTGCAGGGAGTTTAGGTAAAGGCTATGAAAAGTTAGGAATTCCCCAAGGTTATGACATCTAAGATAAAAACGGTATCATGGCGTATATTGGGGCCTTCATCTAGGACTTGTCTTGGGCTATCATAGAATAGAAATATACATCTACATCTTTCAAAAACCATGAACGTACCGTTGACAGTCACTCCTAATGATTTTCAGAATTTAATCACATTTATGACATTGGAATATGTTTCGAATTCGTTTCCAATCCCTGAAAATGCATCACTCACACTTTATGTTACTACTCGAGTACCTACGACGTAGGTAGGTATTGAAATTTAGTTTCGTACTGCAAAGGAAAAAAGAATCACTGGTAGCGGTGGCTCAAGAATGGCAGAATTCCCGATACTGCCGTATGAAGTTTAGCGCGTAGATAACCTTGTTCTCGGATTATAGATCTTTGAGCTTGCGATAGTTACAATTCAGTACGGTCAATTGACAGGTGAGAAGGAAATTCGAAAATTGAAATTAAACTTACTGGAAGTAAATAAAAACGATAATCTAAACACTCCTCTCCGCGTCCTCTCCCGTCTCTCCATGATTCATATCACGAACCATGCTGCTCAGTAGCAGTAACGCCAGAGGCGCACGAGGAAATTCCAAAAGTTCACGAGGATCAAGAGGTCGCGGACAGACGGGTCGAGGAGCTTCAAACAACTCCTCTGGTAAGCCCCATCCCACTTTCATGACATCCATCAAGATCACAAGCATTGACCGACAATATCAATCTATACCATGGGAAGTCCCATGCTAGAAATTAAAGATCCATCAACTCAAGCATTCACATTACTATTGTCATGAAAGAAACTCACACAAATTTGATCATTTAGCTACACCACCTCCTAGTGCGACAACAACGACAGATCCATTCGAAAAAGCGCGACTCGAGAATGCTGCGAAGCGCGAACAGAGGGGCCAAAACGGGACTGCGACCAATACCAGAGGAAGAGGTTCATCGCGCGGAGGGCTACATAACAATAAACAGGTCCGATTCGCGACTCCACCAATTGAGGAGCAGACTGGCCCTCCTGCAAACGCAACGTCTTCAAATATGAATAACTCTTTTGGATCGGGGACCGCCACACTCTCCAACCCGTTCTCATTTACTACAAATACCAATACAAATACCAATACTTCAACAAATGTCTTTGGGGCACCTACTGGACCTAAAAGCAGTTCGTCCTCGCCATTTGCTCCTTCATCCAGCTCCAATTCTCCCAACACCAATGTCTTCGGATCAGCAAGTGCGGCTCAGCCTACAGCTGTAAACCCATTTGCTTCTTCAAATTCTTTTGGCACTGCATCTCCTTCATCAACTTTTGGCACCCCATCGAGTGGCTCTACAGCTCCTTTGTCTTCCCTGGTCAATTCTCAAAACCCGAGTACTCTGAAAGGAACGAGAGGCGCGACCTCAAAACAGGTCGCATTCGAGAAGAAGCCCGAGAAACCTGCCCCGCAAAATGTCTTGAAAAGGCCAGTACAAGTGAATAATGGCTTTACAGATAAAAAGAACAAGGCGTCCAACCAGTCGAAGTCAGGCTTCGAAACCACCTCGTCCACGCCGTCGGATATGGCCTCGTTTGCCTCAAGTAGTGAGCTAGCCACCAAGATTAACGCCCTTTTACAAAAAGAAAAAATTACTTCTCCACGATGCAATGCGAAAAATCCAGGGGATCCTCGCGAAAAGGCGGCTGTAAAGAGCTATTTAGATGAGCTTAAGAAGTATCGAGCACGCGTCCGCGCATCCCTCATCAAAGGCGGTTTCATCGACGATCCTCTCAAACCAAAGAAACTTAGTGAAGCCATAGATTTCAAAGGAACATGCGACCAGATGTGTCCAGAAGAAGAAATCATACGAAGAATTATCGAAGATGATGTTCAACGTGCCGAAAAGGAGCAAGCCCCCGACGGATCCATGCGTCCTTCGCCTCAAATGATGATCAAAAAGTTGGCTAGATCTGCCGCAGGAGAAGATGCACCACTTCCTCAAGATGTCCGCTCGCCTGCTGCACTCAGACGGACACTCGATTATCTTATCGACATAGTTTTGGGGGAGGATGATAACCTGGCAGCTCAACATGAGTTCTTGTGGGATCGAACACGTGCAATACGTCGGGATTTCGTATTTCAATCCTCAATGAGCCCACCAGAATTGGCTGATCAAGTTTACTGCCTTGAAAAGATCACCCGGTTCCATGTTACTGCGTTACATCAAATGTCAAAGCCTGACGTTGCACCGGAGAACTTTGTGGAGCAGCAGGAGGTTGAACAACTCAGCAAGTCTCTCCTTTCGCTGATACATGCTTATGAGGATTGCAATTTGCAAAATATACCTTGCGAGAATGAAGCCGAATTTAGGGCATACTATGTACTGCTCAATAGCAGCAATCCCGGGATCCTGGAGACGGTACAAGATTGGGGGTGGAAATTTTGGGGAGAGTCGGAGCAAATTAAGATTGCCGTTGGCTTAGTTGAATGTTTACAAAATATCTGGAGCCCACGAGGCCCGCTACAACCATTTTCGGTATTGAACGTCGCTGAAAATGCCTTCTCTCGCTTCTTCACGATTCTGAAAGGGGAAAATGTGTCATATACAATGGCTTGCTTCGCTGAGATGCACTTCAACGAAGTTCGGAAGAACGCATTAAAGACAATATTATCGGCCTACCAGCGACAGCGCGATCAGCCAAAGGACTGGAATATTGCCAAACTGAATCAATACTTGCACTTCGATGATCCATGGGAGATAGTTGACTTTGGCGAAGCTTATAGCCTCCGATTCGACGATCTGGATGATGATCCCTGCTTATCATTAGCCTTGGATAATCAAGTCGTTGATCCATTTCCTCCGATCAAGCAGCCCCATTCCGTGGAAGTTGTCGAGCGAAAACGCACTGGTCACACTCTCACGGAGGTGATCGATACGACTGTGTATGAAAGGGTGTCGGCAACAACAACTCAGGGCGAAGAATCAAGTTCCGACGATGGACTGTTTGTGAAGGACAACCAAGGAGGACCTTTCAACGTGGGGGGTGTGAACTCATTCTCACCAGCAAGTACATTTTCTCAACCGCCAAAGCCCCTCGGCTTCCCAGTGGCACAAACACCACCTCAGCAGGCTTTTGCGACGTCTCCAGCCACACCATCGTTCGGCTTCCCATCAGCAAGTCAGGTAAATACTGCCCAGCCCGCCACTGAACCCGCGCCAGAGAAGCCGAAGGATGCAAACGCCCCCTCTAGTTTATTCGCCCCACCAGCTCCGACCGCTGCGTCTA